TATTATACATAGAAACACCCAGACCAAATCAAACATCAAATGTTCATGCACACAAATGTTTGACTTGAGCGGGAATCGAACCCGCGACCCTTGGAATAGCAGTCCGTTACACAAACCACTACGCCATCCGGTCGTCGAAGTTATAATTATCGTTATAGTTGTCGATACAGCATGTGCGAATTGTAATGAATGATAATTTGTAATGTAAAAATGACGTATTTTATTGTACTTATTGTAATGTTTTTTTATTTATTTTTTTATTTTAATGAATTGTGGTAATAATTATATTTTTTGTTATTTTGAAATTTTGTAGTATTATGTGTATGTATATTAATTTTTATGATTTTGCCTATGGGTTTACACCTGAAATAAATGATTATTATTTTTATTATTATATAAACAGTTTATTACTAAACATTATCTCGATCGGCAAAATATCTCCTATATTAAATACCTGGAACGCGAGTTAATTTGAAAGTCCATTCTGTGCGGTCGGAAGTAACTATTGGTCAGGAGTATCTTTTAATTTAAACGGAGGAAATTTAGTCCCATAGTTTATTCTGCTGTGGTGAAAGCAGGTGCGGACTGGCCCCGAGCTCAGTAATTAACAAAACAAAGGCTTTTCACTACGTTAACAGTACTTGATGTTACTGCCTACATTATATTAAGAACTCAGATTCTTGTGGTTAACAGTCAACTTTGCGTATTAAATTTGTTTATTTTTAAGTTATTTTAACGAACGTGTTGCAAACGGCTAAAAGCTTGGTCGAATAAAAGCTTTAAACAAAACGTATTACAGTTATTTCTACGGTATTTTTCTATATTTACCTAAATTTACGCTTGATAAAAATTTGTCTCATTTTGTTTTTTTGTTTCTTCATTAAGAAATTATTTTAGAACCAATTTTATAGCTTGTTAGTAAAATGTAAGTACTTTCTCTACATAATACGTTGTCTGATGTCGCCACCGCTGCAAAAAATGGTTCATTTACATAGATGATGTTTCGGTTAGACGATCTGTTTACAAAATTCACGGATACTACGACACTATTCATTGTAAGTGCTTATATTTAGGTTTAAATATAATTCAATGAAATAAATTCACTTTAAAATTTAAATATGTAAATGGTAAGAAATAATGGCAAACCCACACCACTGTATTGCAATAAACTATCAAATTTACTGAATAACAATAATCACCATGTTTTTCGTACCTTGATCAGAACTCAAGTTAGCATTACTAAAATCGTAATGGAGGATTTATATAAATGATTTATGGATACACCCATCATTCTGACGTCAAAATGGCGGGTGTATCTTCATTTTCTTATGTTTTCGTTTCAATACAGGTTATTTAAATTATTTTTTTAAAGTATAGGTACAATTTAGTACGGTTTATGTACAATATTTCTATACTATATGAGATTGGATTTGTTATGGTACAACCGCCATTTTGACTCTTACGAATTGAAGATGTGTATTGCACCTGCAACCTGCTGTATTAACCGATATTATAAGTCCAATTAATGGCGTGACCAGTTATAACTGGTCATGATAATGGTAATTAGCTTATCTTTATAAAAGTGAACTTTATAATGACCTATAAGTCATCATCATCATCAACAGCTTTTAATAGTCAACTCCACGAAATAGGCCTCTCCTTAAAAAGGAGGTTTTAGCCTACTATTTGGATGTCTGGATGTCTTAATAACAGCAGTTCCCGGATCCCTCCTAGTGCCTGCCCGCAACGGTGCAGGTACCATTTTCGGGTACATTCTCTATTTAGACTACGTCCGGCACACGCGGACGTAGCCTTCTCACGGCTGGCCGTTATAGCGGGTGGAGGGGAAAAACCGTCCCATCGACCCGCGGCTATACTCACGTCCACACGCGGACAACCTCCACCGGTTGAGTCATTCGGGGACATGTTCAATTCAACGATTTTCTTCGGCGTCGGTCCGATTCCGACACACCACCCCACCGCAAACCCCGATGGGGTGACTGCCCGAGGGAGTTTCCACACGTAAAAAAAAGAAAAGGCCAAGGCTTCAATTCGGCCTTCCTTGCAGCTGCCTTGGCCGCTCATCCCGCCTTCGGTGCAACCATCTGTGCCACTGCCTTGGCCGTTCGTCCTGCCTTCGAAACAACCTCAGGGATGGATGTCGACACCACCGCAGCGTAGGAGACACGGCCACCCCGCAAAGGGGCAGCAGAAACGGCGTCGTCACCGGAACCGAGAGTAGGGGCAAGCGGATGGCCTTGCTGCCTGCGCCTAAAACTGGGCAACCTGAGCGCTCAGCTCGGCCACCTGCCACGTCAGGCGGTTATTAGCGGCAACCCCAGCAATGGCAGAGGAGGTGTCTTTAAGGGCCCTCATAAATTGCCTCTCAAGGTTCGTAGATTTTGTATCCACCTTGTTTATGATGCCTACAGCTACGTTCGCCGTCTCCTGCATGGACGCCGGTATTTGGGTTATAGAACCCTCTACCGTCGGCTCCTGAATTTTGTGCAGGAGATCCGCCATCTCCTAATCCACTACATTTTTGCCCTCAACCCTGACTCTCCTATAGGCTTCTGCCTTGGAAAAGACGGAGCGACCGACGGACGAGCGACGGAAGAGACCGGTGTACACAACCTCCCTCTGCGACTACTAGCCACTTTGGGAGGCAGCCCACTCCTGGCACGTGTCGCCAACTTCATTCGGCATCCGCGTTTCCGGCTATCGCGGATCTTCACTTCCATTAGCTCCAGTGCATCAGTCATCGCACTGGAGTTCCTAACGTCCGACGAAATGGCAGATCTGGAAAGCAGACATTTAGAAGGTCTTCAGCCCCCAGGAGTCAGACTGACTTCTGGAGCCGTGGTGTGATAGGCATCTCCAGCAACAGTTTCTCCTCGTTAGACGAAAAGTCACCCGCCCTACCACTCTTCTCCTTCCTGTTTTTCTTCTCCTTGTTTGATTTTTTATAATACACTTAGACTGGGGAGAAATAAAGGTCAATCCGGGAAGAGATCTCCAATACCCAGGCAAGCGTCAATTTATGCCCAACATATCCCTGCGGATCCCTCACCATTGTGTCAATGCTCAACACCTAACTCTCATTATGAACAGTCTGCTCATCATATCCTCTGGGAATGTAGTCTTTGGTATAATGAACGTAATATAATGCTGAATAGCTTGCAGGTGACATCTGGGGCGGTATACTATGGGGATCTTGTGTCAACTAGGGTGAATTTCCGTGCGTTTAGGCGATTCTGCCATACATATTATAGAAATCAAATATAGCTCATGTAGGACCCGTAATATTTTGTGGCCGTGGTGCTTCCCTGTTTAAAAGGTTGTATGCCTATTTTACTTCATTTTGTCTCCCGCTTTGCTAAGGAGGGAAGTGGATTTACTGTATTTCCAACTCCTAAAATTTTCTTCTGATTAATTTCGTTGCGGGTTCCAAGACAGTTTAATTTCTTCCTGGGACTTCCCGAGTGTCATAACTCGGTGTGTTCGTGGGTCACTGCTGTGGATCCTGGTGTACAGGAGTTACAGTGGTGGGCGTGTGGGTGGGATTAGTCCCAATGTAAAAAAAGGTGCCTCAGCTGGGAGTGGAACTGCTCATCAGCCATACATGACGTTCAACGGATAGTACGTGTTTTGCAATCCCTGATTTAGATAGGAAATACATTTTCCTATTCGAAATTCAACAGTACCTTCGATTTTTTTTCCTATTAGTTCTCCTATGTTTTTTCCCTATACAATAGTTTACATCGTAGTATGTGATGGACACACTCTCTTACACTACTCTTATAACTTAAAGGCAATAACATGTGTACGTCTATCAAAGCCCATACATATTTGAAGGTAATCCAGTGAACCACAAAAAGTGTACGACAGCGACAGGACATGGTTACTTTGAAAAGGGTTTGCTAGAGACACGTCAACTGACAACTCAAATTTATATTTGACATCTTGCCTCGTGTGGTCAAAAAAGTTCTTTTAATTTTGAATCAAATAGTTTTTCACAGTTTTGTTGTTTGAACCCTTAAAAACGAGGGTAAACCTTTTTTCAAACCATTGTAAAAAAAAATCGTATAAATGGGATTTTGAATTTTGTTCAGGTTTTGTGTCTTAATTCACCAGATATAAAATGAAAAATAAATAAAATAATAGCCTTTATTCTACTACCAATAATCGACAAATACACAAATTATTATTTATATCATGCTCTGAATAATATTTATCTACAATCAATTTACTATAATTATTATACTATGAACATTTCTATAAATTATCAATAACAAATTATAATTACAATTTAATTAATTACAGTAATAAATACATTAAAAAAATGGAATTTCATAATTTATGTTATTTCATTATAATTATTTTTTTATTTAACACTGATTTATTATCTTTTACTATTTATTATTGTTTTAACAAAAAATATTTGAATGTAATAGTTTTTTAATAGATATTACAAAAACAATAATTTGGCTTTTATAATAATTAAATTTTAAAGGAGTAGGTAATTTTAAACAATTTAAAATGTTTTAAACTTAGAAGAAGACAATGTTCGACAGAGAAGGATTTTTTTATATTTCATGAATATTAGGATATTAGAACCAAAGGATTTTAGTTTCGACACTACACTAAAACTCAGATTTAAATTAATACAAAAATAACAACTATTTTTTCTCAAAACAAAGTTATCATAGTTCCACATGCGAAGGGGAGATAAATTAATGCTATAATAATCCAATGCATGTGTATCGTGGTAGGTGTGTGTTTGCTTTTGAAGTTTTAAAAAAAATGAGGTTTCTTTTCTTTTCTAAATAATTTTACCTAAAAAAAGATATAATTTCTTTCAATTCTGTGATGTCCGTAATTGTAATGTTATTGTCAACATTAAATGGTTTCCATTGGTTACTTAACAATTCATATATTATTAGCAAGTAATCGGTTCATTATAAAATGACTAATAGTTAAAAACCTATTATTATACATTTCTATTGTAATTCATTTAAATCCTCACTTAGCAAATTCTCCGTTTTATGATAGTAGCCAACAGTATCTGGAATGATTAAAAAAATACCACCTACCATAACTATTACCTAACCAGATTTATGTGAACAAATCAGTGATTGTGTTATTTTACCCTCTGTTATACTAGCGCGTACGTGTAGAGCTTTGTGATCCTAACAGCCGAGCCAGACGGTAGGTTCAATTCCCACACAAAACTAATGGAAATTTAATTTAAATTCATGTCTTCTGTGTAATTTATCAATCTAAATTAATTGATAGTCTGGTGTAATTTTAGTTTGTGATCAGATAACCATAACATTATAATGTGACATGTGTACCTACATATTTTTTTATTACTATTGTACAAAAAATTGAATTATAAATTGCGACCAGAGTTACAACCTCGATAAAACTCTAAAACACTTCTATATTTAATACATCACATACACAACACTTCTATGTCAGCCCTTTCTGTCGTGAGAAGGGTTGTAATGCTTCTGCTCCGTACTATATGAAACTTTATATACCTAAGTACAAACATAGTGTCCTAAGAAGCATCAGTCCATTCGATACCTAATACATATATATTTGAATATATTGAAACGAAAACAATATCAAAAGCAACAGTTATATAAAAATAGTAATAGAGATTATTCTTTAGGAAATACATGTAATGAAAAATATTTTCTTATCAATGAGGTCGATTGCTTCATCTCTTTGAAGATTACTAAGCACTCTATAATTTATCTGCTCATTTATAAAACTGATCAACTATTAAATATATAGATATGGATTTGATATTTATATTATATGTTACTCAATAAATTTTATCATTTATATCTAAATAGTCATTTGACCGGTCTGTATTGGTCTAGTGCTGAGTGACTCTGATTGCTAAGCCAGAGTATTGTGGATTCATTTTTTCTGGGTCTGGGTGTAATTTATCTATAATATGTGTAAGTACGTGTACAAGGACCAAGATATCGGTGGTTAGGACTTCAGAGATGGAAACATCCTCGCAATACGTGCCGTATCAAGGAGAACTGCTTCCCGCATCAGGCCCTTAATCCAACTGCCTAACACGAGCTTCTCAAGATGTTGGTCAAGGCTCTTAGCAATTATTCCATGGGCCGATATGACTATCGGTACAATGATTGCCGAATCAACATCCCACATGTCGACAATCTTGTGGGCCAAATCCATATACTTTACTTGTTTATCTTTTTCACCTTTCAAGAGATTGTCGTCATGTGGAATGGTAATGTCAACAATCATTGCTCGCCGCTCTAATCGGTATATTACCACTATATCAGGTTTATTGGTAACAATAGTTCTGTCAGTGATAAAAGGGCGATGCCAGTACAATTTTGCACGACCATTTTCAAGAATTGTTTCAAGAATATCAAGTATTCCTCAGTCACAAGGTTATACTCAAGAGCAAGTTGCTGATAGACTATCCTGGCCACTTGGTTATGTTTATGCAAGTACTCACCGTTGGCAAGACGAGAATAACCGGAAATTGATGTCTGAGGCATTCACCGGGATAATGACATGCCCAACAAATGTTTATTGTGCCGTCCTTCAGGATATACTTAAGATAATTATTTGTTATAACAACTTCATCAGTAATTGCAAAGACAAAACCTTCAGTTTCTCCTTAGAGGCCACCGAATCGTAGCCAGAATAGACGCCAGTTGGTCTCCCTCAGGTCTTTTCAAGGCCCGATAAAAAGGTCCATGCAGCTCTTTGCCCTTCCATATCTCCTTACGATCAGTAATATTGAGTACTGCAAAATGCACCAGTTCTTTTTATCTATACAAAGCGAAGTAGGTCCGTTATCAACTGCTACTACATCCCTATGCATACCCACATGAACAGAAAGGAAGTAATTCCTGAGATTACATTTCTCATGATTATGGAGTTTCCTGGTATTTAGAAAACCACGACCACCACATTTTCATGGAATATATAACCTCATCACCGATGAACGTGGATGATGCATTCGGTACGCAGTAAGCAATGTACGAACTCGTCTATCCAGGGTAACTAGTTCAGTCTGAGTCCATCTAAGTATGCCAAAATAGTAGGTTAGAACTTGTATGACCCAATCATTTTAGGCCCTGACCTTATTACCACCTGACAAAAGCTGAAGCATTCCTGTAACGATTATTTCATAGTCAACTCATTTACACCTAACGCCTGTGACATAGCCAGATATTTGTAAGTTTCGATAGCTGAGAGACACCTAAAATGCGTGGAATCTGAGGGTTCTATCCTATCAGATTCGACAACCCTGCCTCTTTTTACATGCATGATTGCACACTTATCTACACCAAATTCCATCCTGATACATTCACTAAAAGTTTAAGTTATTTGTAGTAAATTTATCAGTATGGAATTTAATTATAGGACTTTTTTAATTATGTTTGTGGCATAGGGTTTTTCACAGGGTAAACGTATATAAATTAAGGCAAAAGTGGACATACACTCAAACTCGACTACATCCACAAATTAATAAAATTTCTAAACTTCAATAAATTTTAATGTGACATTACGAATTATTTGCATTTTATTTTAAATAAAGGCAACATCTTCTGAGCCTTTTACCAAACAAGGTATTTTTTTAACAGTTGAATAAATGGATAGGCGTGTTCCTTTATTCAAGAACTGTAAATTATGTGCAATTAAGGTTTTATGAGTAAGTGATTAAAGTGATTTCTCAAAAAACGTTTCTTGAAGGTATTAAAATGTATGTTCATAACTTATTTTGATTCGAAATATATAATTAAACCTATAATTTTTCTTCTGCGAAGGCTACAATCCAGTTGCTATATGATGATACGCGGGTGACAACACCGGGATAGATAGGATCAGCACAACGATATCCCCAGGAGGTAACCCCAACAACCACGTGACCATTATTAGTAATCTGGGTCACTGGGCCTCCCGAATCTCCTTGACAAGCATCTTTACCACCGACGTCTAAAACACCAGCGCACATCATACCGGGTGTTACGTCAGGCCAATCTGAGAATCCAGGTCGTGTTTTCAGAAATGCATAACGTTCAGCACATAGCTCCAGATTAATAACATCAAGCTGGACGTGTTGCAACTGATTCGGCGATACTCCTCCAACCTAAAAGAAGCCAAATTTGTAAATCAAATAATTGTTTATTCATCATCATCATCATCCCAGCCATCTCAACATGGCTTTTGAATAAAATTTATTTTGATTTCGAATTGCTCGTCCATACACTAATAATGAAATCTGGTTTTATAATTTGCCAACTTCATACCTATTCATATATGTATGTCCATTACGAATGTATACTGACTTAGGGAATTAGAAAGCACTTTTCATACCAATATTAATTAAAAATTACCCGAAACACAGTAAAAGGCTGTGAAAACTTATCATATTTATTATTTATCTATTATATAAAGTTGTAACTGAAAACGAGCCGACGACGCCTTTAGAAACACAAGTCAGTTTTGCTTAATTAATAAATAAGAGACCTTTAATAGTCACCTCTAACTGGCCCCAGCCAATAGCAGTTATAGGAGTGCCATCATTTATGTGGTAGTAGGCACCAGCGATACGAACAGCTGCAATCGTACTTGAGTACACCGCTTTTGTGGTCAAACGAACGATGGCCACATCCGCTTCTGAAGGCTTGATATCGTAATGCGGGTGGATGATAATTTTGACAACATTGTGAATTACACCACCAGATGACCTCTCCGAGGTACCAAGCCGCACGCGCCACCAAGGTACTGGATCGCCACTAAACATAAGTTCAATATTAATAATCTTTGCAAAGTTATCATCATTATCATAATTAATTAATTAATTAAGAGAAAAAAAGGATCTAAGACATCAAATTTTAATTTGGATACCTAAAGGGTTGGGGGAAAAGTTTCTTCGTATTTAAATTTAATTCAAGACGTTTTTTTTCAGTTTTATCTTTAATTATGATTTATCTGTGACATTTTGTTTAAAAACTTGTTAACCTCTTGTCGGCATCCCGTTACTATAGAAATCTTGGGATTTTTTATCAAAAAAATGCGACAAGAACTTTAGACTTTCCTCTCTTGATGTTAACCTAACATTACATAAAGAATTCTGAAGAGACCAAAACTGGTGGCAATCTGAGGTTGCAAACCCAGAAGTAACTAGTAGATGCATCAATACATCCCAACCAATCTCTCTCAAGTTTTGCTGAGTGGCCAAAGATGTAAGTGGTCTGACGTTATCGTGATGAAAGACCACTCTTTTCCTGTTGATCACTTCCGACAACTTTTTTCTCAAGTTATTGCTTGAATCTCTTTAGTTGTTGGTAGTAGAGATCTGAATAGATGATTTTGCCCGGTAGTATAAATTCATAACAAACGAAGCCTTTCTAATCCTACTGAAGTGTATAGGATGCCTAAGTAATAATCTTGTAATTATGTTCCACGTTTAACTCCATTCCTATCTTATTTAACCAATGATTATTATAATGTGTGTCTCCAAATACATCCCGTACTTACATGGCGTACCCGCCTAAACGGTCAACCGCCAGCGCGACTCGGTTATTTGATACAGTGCGTTCATTAAAGGAGTGGAACTTTTATTCAAATAGACGGAACTTTTATTCAAATTCAAATTATTCAATTAGTTATAATACTTTTATTCAAAAATTAGTGACAGACGATATTAGGGAGGGTATGAAGGACACTAGAGTGACAGTGCTGGCTTTGATTGATTCCTCGAATGTCTTTAATACCGTTAGTCATGACGTTCTATTGCCATACTTTCCTTTCTTATGATCTCCTCTGCTCTGGAATGGACGACAACAGAATGTTCTTATTGATGACTTCGACGTCGAGTTGGTGTAATCTTCTTACTGGCATTACTCAAGGCGGTATATTTTCTCCCTTATTATTGTCAATATTCATTAACCTTCAGTGTACGTATCACCTGTACGCTAATGACTTACAAGTGTACATACAGGCAAGGGTTGAGGAACTAACATACGCTATGGACAAAGTCAGCAAAGGCTTGGACTTTATAAAGAGCTGGTCAACGAGACTTGGTTTGTCGCAAATCCAACCAAATGTCAAGTGATCGTCGTGGGGAGCAAACAAAAGATAAGTAGGTTGGATATGGCGGACATCCCACCAGTTGTCTTCAACAATGAAATATAAATTATAGTGCATTGGTAAAGAACCGAGGGATATATATATATATATATATATATACTATACTCAACACTTGACTGGCGGGGACAGGTTACACACGTCAGCCAGAAAGTGACCCCATGTCTCCGTGCTTTATATCGTTTGAATAACTTCCTTCCTACTAAAACTAAGGCTACGCTTATGCAGTCCTTAATTATTCCCTTAATCGACTATGGTAGTGTGTGTTATTTCGACCTGAATGCAGACCTTCTCAATAAACTAGATCGCCTTCTCAATAACTGCATTTAATTCTTTTTAAATCTTCGCAAGTATGACCATGTGTCTGCTTTACGTTTCTAGCTGCAATGGCTCCCAATTCGTCAGCGCCGCAGTTTACGAGCACTGACTTCTCTCTTTTCTTTCCTCAACTCTCCATCGTTACCTGAATACCTCGTACCCCACTTCCGTTTCTTATGCTCCAATCACGATCGAAATCGTCGATCAACCAACAATATGCTTCTTCTATGCCCCCCTCACACCTCCAACTTCATCAACTCCTCCTTTTACGTCCAGTCAGTTCTTCTCTGGAATGCCCACCCTGCCGAAATCAGGATGTCCACAAGCCGCCTTGCATTCAATTGGCAGATCAGTAACAACGCTAGTACCTGACTGCGTATTTATATATTTTATTCAATTTATGTAGGTTTATGTATGTATGTGTATTTATATATTGTGTATGTCTCTGGACCTAAATTATGTTAAATTTAATATTTTATTTTGTACCTACCGTATCATATTTCTACATCACCTGAAGGTTGACTGGAAGAGCATGCCTAATGGCATTAAGTCCGCCTTTGTACAACATGTGCTTTAAGTTTATAATAAATAAATATAATTGTTGTGTTTCGGTACTCAGAAATAATAAAATATGACTATGGCCCAATTTTCTTCTTCTTCTTCATTTTAAAAGACAACTCCCGCATTAGGAAAATATCCTGTATCGCGGAGGACTTTACAAACATACATGAAACGGACACAAGGAACAAATCCTTTTGTGTTACGAGGTACAGAGTTACGTCTTGTGTTGTACATTTTCGAAAGTTCTGATGGGTAACCGAAAATCTCAGGCAATAACCATCGCTCAAAACGCTGTAGGAGGTGCTACCGCAAATGCAATAACACAACATAATTCTGTCAACCACGAAAATATTATTGATAGTTATAGCGATATGCGTTTCTCTTAGGATGTTGTATTTTGCATATAGGATTTACAAGAGGTGTCATATGCAAAGGATATATGGACAAATAAATAGAACTGTACATTACTTTTTTTCGTCGACCTGTTTCCAGGCGTTTTGATAAAGAAGCACAGGCCCCGAAGAAACCTTATGGAGGTGTTGTATTGTGAATATATGTGTCGATGAGTGCTCAGCAGTGCGGTTAAAGTGCGTTGTAATCATTTTAGGTAATAAATAGTACGGCACATGTTGTACATGCAATTAAAACACAAAATAGCTCTTGTATAACTTATGTAACAATATATAAAATTATTAAATGGATATATTATTTAGTGGACTATAGAGTTAATAACAATTAATCGATAATATAGATTATTATAACTCATATTGGAAAAGATATATGTAAAAACAAACAGCCCTGGATGAGGAAGTCACTGCAGGATGTGGTTTGGGTGAAATTATGAGTATACATAAAACATTTTATTTTAATAACAGAGGTGCAAAATATAATTTTAAAGGAAACTGAGGGGGATCCAGCTCTCCCTCTCCATATAGGGGACACAGACAAGTTTATAGAGGACATCAGCGAGCATGGTATCAGCAACACACAGCTCCTGAGGCACCAACGCGAGGACATTCCTTCAGCGGTCAGCAATACAAAGTTAAGTCATAAAATAGGGGAAACTAAAGAATACCCCAGCATTCCGAATGTAAGCGTTATAAATAAAGATTATATTTCTAATTCATCACAAAACAACAGATTTCATAACCGAATGTGTCTGAAAACTTTTTTCTTGGCCAATTTAAGGAACATTTTTTTTTATCATGCGATAGTGACTGTTTTACATATTTTTCAGTTAATGGTAAATTATTTTTATTTTTAGTAGATTCAGGTCCATCTTTAAGCGCAATTTAATATAATTATGTGATAGAGCGAAATCTGACAGTTCATAAAGAGGACATTTTTATAAATGGTGTAGGGGCGAAGTCCGTGCAATAGGATACGTGTATGTACAATAGAGTAGTGATGATTTAATTATAAGCCATAAGTTATACGTTTTTAATACACTGCCTATTACATCAAACGCTTTTTCTTTTTGGTATATGGGGGCAAATGAGCCGACGGCTCACCTGATGGTAAGCAACTACTTACTCAGTGAAAGGCAACGAAAGAATTGCTTAACAACGGTTTTCTGTGAGGCCGTGGTATCATTCCGGTCCAGCCGGCCCATTCGTGCCGAAGCATGGCTCTCCCACGGTAGCTATTGTCCCACGGTTCAGTGGATCGGGATTTTTTAAGAAGATTTAGATCTGTTTTAAATGTCGATACAAATATTTTGAATTTTCGTGATAGTTTGAATAGAGTTATTAGTTTACCACGTTCGTGATAGTTTACAAACAAAATTATAATTTATTATAAGTTTCGGCAAAAACAGAGTCTATTCACTATATAAAGACACAGTATTAGTATGAAGAAGAATGCGTAATATGTTCGACAAAAATACAAGAGGGTGTTTTTTAGCCAGTTCAATGGCTACCCCTGTTAAAGATATTATACCTATTAAAATATTAAATACTAGGGAAAATAATGACACTTTATCAACATTTAATTTAGATATTTACAAACTAAGCGATTATAACATTTGTTCATTTGATAATAAAGCAGAAAGAGTTATAAAGTTATTTTGTTATGTAAATTTTTCCCATACGAATGACGAGGAACAGACAACTATTTCATTTATGTGCCAAATAAGCGAATATTTTTAATTTACCGGGGGGGGGGGCGCGAATGAAGTACTACCGATATTTATGTACACACTATAACGTTGAAACCAGGCAGTACATCATTCGTTTCAAAGCAGTATAGATTACCGCATGCACAGAAAAACGAAGTTGAGCAACAAATAGATGGAATGGTTAAAGAAGGTATAGTTGAGCGTAGTAAAAGCGAACAGTCGAGCCCTGTGTTATTAGGACCAAAAAAAGTAGACACAACAGGTATTAGGAAATAGCGATTAGTAATCGTTTACAGGAAATTAAACAATTGTATAGAAGATGATACATACCCTTTACCAGATATAACCGAAATACTAGGTCCCTAGTACGTAGGTAGTGTTTTCTTCAGTCATTTAGACTTACATCAAGGATACTATAATGTAAAATTAGATGAAAATAGCCGTAAATTGACAGCATTTGCTTCTGGTCAATACCAAATGACTCGGATGCCAATGGGTTTAAAAACGAGATCGTTTTTTCGTATGATGAATATAGCGCTAACTATAAATGTTTAATATATTTGGATGATTTAATCAGTTTCGGAAGAAATTCATAAAAAAATACAATTCGTTTCCGAGACATTGCGGAAAGTTAATTTAAAATTAAATCCTTCCAAGTGTGTTTTTTTAAAGTAAATAAATATTGTATCTTGGTCATGTCATTTCTAATAAAGGTATATAGCCTAAACCGGAGAAAATAAATAGAGTTAAAAATTATCCACGTCCAAAAAATTGTGAAGAAGTAAAGAGATTTGTAGCTTTTGCAATTTACTACAGAAAGTTTTCACAACATTTTGCTCAACAATACATCCTCTAAATTCACTTTTTAGAAAAAATGCTTCTTTTAAATGGAATCTAAAATGTCAGCAGGCGTTTGGAACTCTTAGAGAAAAAATATTTCCCCTCCTATTTTGCAATATCCTGATATCCTGACAGAAGTTATTATATGTATATTCTACATCGCAATTATATTCTTCTAAAGCAAGTCTAAATTTCTGTGCGAATTTTGAAATATCGACCATACAAGTACGGATCTTCTATCTCTATTACAGGATAATTCTTTTCCGCCTTATTTAGACTTCTACTTGCGAATGCTACGGGACGCCCATTTTTATTTGCTAAAATGGATCCTAGGGCATAATAAGAAGCATCTGTTTCAATAATAAAATGATTATCTTCTGAAAAATCAGGATATTGCAAAGTAGGAGTAGAAATATTTTTTCTCCAAGAGTTTCAAACGCCTGCTGACATTTTCGATCCCGCATACGCTGTGTGAACTTAAATGACGAATTGGCTGTAGTTGTAATTATCATTGGTTCTTTGATAGGTGTAGAATGCATTGAATGTTCTCATGCATTTCTTTCAGATAAATTTATGATATTCGTGATAAAGTGTCTGTAATAATCACTTTGTCACGAATATCATCAAATTAACCAAAAGAAAAGCATGACAACGTAGTAAACGTTTTAACGCAAGCACAAGCTAGGAAACTAAAAGATTCTTCTGTTAATATGGTACCCTCAGATGGTTGACCTGATCAACCAAAAGTCTGTAGAATTAGTATTTAATGATGTAAAAAGTTATAATAAAATGACAAAGAAAGGTATTATTAACCAAGAAAGTGAAGTATTGTGTTACGTAAGCTGTAAGAGAACGATTTATATTAAATTTTTAGATTCTCAATTGCGTATTACACGAGGTGAATTCGTGAGAGAACTAGATAAATTGTGTAAGGAAATAAATGTTGAATAATTATATATAGTCAAAAGACAAGGTAATTAAGTTTTGATTAATAATTTATTACAAGAGATAAGTAAAACGAAATATAGGTCCGGACCATGTATATATAATTAAAGAGGTAGCAATAGTAAATGAGAAAGATGATAGATGGGTTATCTTAAATGATTTCCATCTCCTATCCAGTAGTGGCCATGCTGGTATGGATGTCAAAAATTATCAAAAAATATAATTATTGGCCCGGTTTTGATAACGATATGGAAGACTTTGTGAAACGGTGGAATGTATGCAAACGACAAAAACACACCTATCAAAGAACCAATGATTATTACAACTACGGCCAATTCGTCATTTGAGAATATATTTTTAGATCTTTTTAGTCTTTTAGAAAATGATTATGATAATTTTTCATATATATTTACAATGTGAACTTAGTAAATATGTTAAAGCCTATCCTTTAGTTTCATGCAACGTATGCATGTGCATTTAACGTGTTAATCTTTGTTTCGCTATGTCTGTGGAGCTTGAATACCCTTGAACCATGATCTTTTTCGCACGTTCCGGAGTTGATTAACCAATTTTTTTTTTTAAAATAGTTTGGTTCTATTACGTTTTGTGTGTGGCACCCAAATTTTTGTATAACCAGACGTCCTCAGTTGGGTCAGATCTATTTTATAGTCAACCCCAGTTCCTCGGCTATATTATCGTTACTACTAATATGATCTTGCTCCAGTTTTTCAAAAATGGCATCGACGTTATCCATATGAGGGCAATCAGAGCGAGCTACATATTTGACATTTACATTCCCGGACTGATAACGCTTGAACTAACTTTGTTCTACTGTTATTTACACTGATTTAGGTCCATAAAAATCACAATTTTTTTCGCCTGTTGAATCACATTTTTTCCTCTTTTGTAATAAAACGTTCTTTTCTTTGTTAAATTCACTCGTTTTGGCGGCCAAAAAAATACAATAGAAAAATTACTGGAAACTTTTTTTCTACTTTTTAGTTTTGTCTTTGTTAATATCCTACGTTTATTAAAATTAAAACCAGCTAGATACCAACAGTACAACCAGAGATATTTTCATTAATTTTAAAACATACAAAATACGAAAAGTCTTTTTCTCTAGCCTACGACCCTGTTATTTAAAATTAACTAATTAGATGAAACAAAAAACCGACTGCCTTAAAAATACCAACTGATGAACATGTAATGTTTTATATTTAACATCCTTAATTTTGCAACACTATGCGATATTTTAGTTTTTAGCAAAATCGGTTTAGCCTTCCACTCGTCGTCGCCGGAATAGAGCTCTCTAAACTTTACCTGTAGTTTACTCTCTAAGTCTTAAACTAGAACTAGAATAACGATTAGAACTATAAAACTATCATGGCGTGATACGATTGCTTGATATCAAAAGATAGCAAAAAATATGAGCTTTTTAGACAGCTCCTGATGGTAACTGATTACCACAGCCCATAGACATAGGCAACTCAAGAATCACTGTGCGTTGCAGTCCTTTGACTGCTCCGGCCCCCAACGGAAGGCCAAAAAAGACTTAACAGCAGTTTGCTGTAAAATTTCCATTGACACAGACGTTAATAAATAAACACACGCACTCTCGTGAATGTAAGTCCCTAAGGATTAGTTGGGATGTTGTGGAGTTAGGACTTAGTGGCTAAACTCACACGAAGCAGTGTGCAGCGGAGAGAACAGCGTCCCTTGTTATAAGTGCTCCGCCACAAGCCTGCTGAAATGCCGTGCCAAGCCATCCGTATTGCATGTTAGCCATGTAGGGGTAGCTCTTCACTGTCGTTGGAGAACCACCGACAATACGGTTGGTAGTTGTAGGCACCGCTGTAATTGCAATGATTACATAAATAAATAATAATTTATACTTGATTGACACTTATGAAAGTTGAGAGAAAGTTAAAGCATCAGGACTAGATTGAGGAAAAAATAAGAATATGCCTTACCAATAGCGGCACCCAGTAGAATTAATAACACGAAGACGCGCATATTGCTTACTGTCATAATTGTAATAATCATAGTAGTTACAACATTTACATTTATTTATATAGCGTTATCTTCGTCAAAATTATTGCATTAACAAATTTCGAAATAATGTGATAAATTAAAACTATCCTAATCTTAGGTAAACGAGCTTGGATTAGATATTTAATTTAAAAAAAAAGGTTTGGTGTTATTTGTTGGTATTTATATCTAACTAGCGATTCGCCCCGGCTTCGCACGGGTGCAATGTAGAGATACTACTAATACTACTAATGTGGTGTCAAAAATGCTTACTGTGGGTTATCCTTAGGAGATAGACATATAACATTGCGGAATTATTCGTAGATCTTTCTAAGATATACAATTCCATAGTACATTATTTTAGTGTATCTCGTAAGGATTAGCCAGCGTTTGAAATGTAAGCGCGCAAAACCATGTTTTTTAAGACAAGTCTTTGAAATTTTCGGATTATCTGCGCTATAATATGCATGTATTCTACATATAAACCTTCCTCTTAAATCATTCTTTCTGTTGGTGAAAACCGCATTAAAATTCGTTGCTTAGTTTAAAAGATCTAACCGTATAACAAAAAAATGCGACTTTATTTTAAACTAAGTGAAGACGAGTATCCGGTTGTATTGCGTACTTTTTTATTCTGATTGATAAAAATGCTATTGGGGTCAGACAAATGAGAACTGTCTTATCTCGAAATCTATATGTTATAATCAAGAAACCGTTAGTGTTGTAATTTATGGAAGGCAAAATTAACTTTGGTTGGACACGAGGAATAACATTTGCGAGATTGAGTAGAAACGTAAGGACCAGTGAACGGAACACAGGAACTCAATTTAATCTGGGTAACGGGCGCTGAGTACTACGAGTTGCGCGCGTAACACATTTCTACATCACCCAGAGGTCGACTGGTGGAGAATGCCCTGTCCATTAAGTCCGCTTGTGTACAACTTGTGCATTAAGTTATTACAAATAAATAAATAAATATTTGTTTTGGATGGGAATCGAACCCACGACCTCTGGCTTAGCAGTCAGGGTCACTAACCACTAGATCAACAGGTCCGTCATAGATAGAATAGGTTTCATGGAAAATTTTATTTTCTATTTTTATTCACTTACTGTTATTATATATCACTTTTTAAGAATTAAATTTAAATAGTGGTGAAATTAATTGATACAGTTGATGATAATATCCTTAACTTAAAAGCAGTTTAATATTATACACATAGTATATACACAAGAGCATGTTGCCTTTTCTTTGCTTTTTACTTGGACTCTTTAATATATCATTCACATTCTTCAAGTTTTATTAAAAAATCGTGAGCTTTCTAACATGAGAACATGGAATTCAGGGTCTAGTTCATAACATCGCCAATGACTACACCGATCGTCGCTATATCGAAACCGTTTCATCGATAGGTTACTGTGCAAGAGTACACCATATCGATGGTCGCTGCATCGACAGCCCGATTTAAGCTTTACCCAAATACTTAAAAAGGCTTAATAAGTATATAAACAAAAGTTTTTAAAGGTTTTAATATATAATTATATTAATATAAAGGTAATAATCATAATTAAACGTTGTAACCTACAGTGGTACGTATTAAGTATATTAACATAAATTCAATAACTACCTAAACTAGTTTTTGGCTTTATTTTAAAATACGTCTTTTCCCCATCGTAACAAATTAGTAGTTACTAAGTTTACAATTATTTTTTTAATTTATTTAGACATTAAGATAACTAATTAAATTTAGATAAACCACTACATAATGTAGTTAAAAGTTATAATTGATATTTTCAATATGTTTTGGACCATATCCGCTAGTATGCCCATGTAGACTAGTGGTCTACAAAAACGAAATCCTAAAGTGCCCGTGTAGACTAGCAGTCTACAAAAATAAAAACGGAAAGTGCCCGTGTAGACTAGTAGTCTACAAAAATAAAACCGTAAAGTGCCCGTGTAGACCGGTAGTCTACATGGCTCCTGCCACAGATTAATTAGTATTTGACAGTAATTGTATTGACATAATGCTCTTTAGTAATATTTTTTCTATAGTCTGATATATTATCTATGGTATTAATCTCAGTCGAGCATGCAAACACTAGTAAAAAAAAGAATTATACGTCATAAAACTTCTGTCATTTCATCAGTCTTCGAATCGTTCCGTGCAGTGACTGTGTTGGAATTTCTTTGTGATATTATTTTGTGTGTTGGTGAAATTTAAATGTGTGTTGGTGAAATTTAAATGAAAAGGATATTAAATGTATTATAAGGCAATGTTAATGTTATTTTTGTTTTGTTTAGTATGTAGAACAAAAAACATCTGGAAAACTAAGTTATGTTACTGAGAGCATGGGAACTGTTTCAGAAATGTTCATATTATTCAAAAGTGGTGTATGTTATCCCTATTGTTTTTGATTGTAATAAAACAATATAAGACTACTTATATAGTTATACCTTATTTATATTCCTAACAATGATATTTGTGTACGATATGCCTTGTTAAGTCTTACATAAATTATGCCGCGTGGCGGCCGATAATGGTAAGGATTTAGAGGCCTGTAAATAAATAAATATGTATGGGAGAGTATATGGTTTTATTTCATAACATATTAACTACTATCTAAACAACATAATTAAACATTAAAAACCATAGGTCATCGCTTTCATTTTTGAACTATGAGCTTCGAAGTGCAACACGAGCTTAAAAAGACGTTATCTCAATTTCAACACAGTGTAACTCAACACCAGAGCCGTAATCTGTAAATAGAAAGATAACATTGTTTAGCTAATTTCATAGGCAACTAAATAAATATAACACTTGACACCCTTTCAATACAAACTTTAGTCACAAGAACCGATTAAGTGGAACACGGCGCGCGCGTCGATAACGCAAAAAACAGTGGGGCACTTTACGGGTGGTCGGTATTTGTGCCGGGGCAATCTAGACGGTCTCGCTCGCGAGTCGCGGGCACTCTGGACGCCGCGGGCGCCATGACAGGGGCATACGAGCGGTTATACTTTGAAAATTTGTCTGAAGAATTTGACGGCGACAGGTGCGGTACGAAAATAACAATGTAATTATCCTCTTGTCTGTTGAAACACCGGCTCCCGGTATAAACACATTTTCGCCGGAACTGTTGACATACCGGGAGCCGGTATGGGTAAGTGTGTTCTCATAATCGCTCTAAAGCACGTCATTGTATATACCCTATCCTTTCTAACACGTTACAAATGCATAAAGAAGAAACAGGCTGACTAGTGAAGCCAAAATCTCGCGCAGCTTTAGTGAAAAAAATGTAAACAAGAGTCAGTCAAAACTCCGCCATCGCCTAGGTGACTACTTATTTTTTGTGTTGGTGAAAACTTGTGTTTTATCTTGAAGTGATTCGCTGAATATTAGAAAAAACGATGGAAGGGTAAGTAATTATTGATTATGTATACAAATTATATAATAGTTCTGTTAATTTTCACTAAAAATCGGTCTGTAACTATCAGCATGTTCAATGTCGAACACGTGACGACGATTTTATTGTCGTCATATTTCAACCAAAAATGGATGAAAAGGCAAGTTGATGTTAGATCTAAGACGTAAAATTAATTAGTTTTGATATATTTCATAGGTAGCATTATATTTCTTTCAAAAACATGAAAATATGTAATGAAAATGGGAGTACATAGTCTCATACCGGGAGCCGGTTACGTCAACAGTATACGTTTGACATTTATGGGCAGCCATGTTTTTTGTGTTTCTGGGATGCTTCCTAAGTATGGATATGCCTCAGAAATGTTTTTGTATGCATTAAAATTTTAATTTATTTTTTATTTTTGCAATTTTTTTCATTATCGGTTTTTCTTTTGGTTTTTGTATTGAGCAAAATTATATTTTTAGTTATTACGATACTGGTACTGATTTTCATATTTTCTAAGGATTCCTCCAGACGGGGCTTCATCTTCATCATCAGCCGTCAGGGCTCCTCCTTTGAGGGACGAGGAAATTGTCCGAATCTTGAATCGTGGTAAGTGAATATTTTTCTTTCAGACCTATCTTTTAGTAGTATATATATATCTGTTTACATAGGTAAAACAGACTACAGTATATTATTATTATTTACACAGGGAGTGAAGAGGATGCTGACAGCGATGATGAAGATGAAGATTTAGTTCAGCCAGTGCATCTGCCGAGGAGAGCTGAAAGACTTTTTATGTCTGAGGAAGACACTGAGGTGCCACCGATAAACGCTGCTATAGGCTTTGAGTGGCCACCTCAACTTCCCTCCGGCCTGCAGCCCCAACCTAGCGCCCAGCCCGAACCCGAACCCAACGCCGAGCCTGAACCCAGTGCCGACCCCGAAGCCAGCGCCGAGCCATACAATAAGTTTGATTTTAAGTGGAGAGGGTTTTCAGAATCTCAAATTCCTCCTGAATTGAGAAAGGAACCATTCTCCGAAATTAATTGTGGTCCCACAGTTCCATTGGCGAGCCCATATGTGTGTTCACCTGCTTTGAGCCACATCACACTTAACAGTAACACATCACACAAACAGTATACCTATACGCACAGCTACTCAGGAACACACAGGAGTCTGAAACGCTTTATGTCGCCAGTTCAGTGGGAATTAGGAAGGTAAGTATATTTGTCCAAATCGTGAAACAGTAAGACAATTAAGGCTGCATATGTATATTTATGTATTTGAAAGTAATATTTTTACGTATTTATTTCTTTATTTACGTAGGTTACATTTTCATTAAAAATATCTATCTATCTATCTATATTTATTATTATTAGCAATATTTTGGGTAAAATATATAATTGTAGTTCCCTCGGTTGCGTCATTCGTTTGGATTACAGTCATCATTATTTGAGAGTGCTGCCAACCCTTTTAATCTACAAGAAATATCAGTGCTGCTAACCCTTGTATTCTACAAGCAATATCCCACGAAATCAGGGACTATATTTGATCTTATCATTAGCTATGACTGCAATATT